GAAAAAATAAATAAAAATTAAAAACGTTGAAAAAAGAAAAAAAAAAAGATGGCACTAGATGGAAAAGACTGTCTGATGGCCCCTCGTTGTCCTTCAATCCATCATTCAACCAAGGTCAGTACCAGGTCCTTCCCTGTTGGCTGGAGATATACCCTTAGAGCCTGAAAGGCACATCTACAGAGCTAGCACCCAGGGATACCGCAGGAGCTCCATTCACTGACTTCTATGTGCACAGGCTGGCTCTGTCTACCAGTCCCCTGGGAATCCCACCAGCAGGCCAAGTGGAAGAAGCCTACCCTGTAGGGGAAGGTACAGGAGAGGACACCTACCCTCTCAAAGTAGAATAAGTACTTCTTGAGGGCTTCCCTTGCCTGGGCTTGTTGGCTTTGGTTCACAATGTCAGGATTCTCCTTGTAACGACTACACTCATAGTATTCACTGCCATGAGTCTTCCAATCTCCTAGACACATCCAGCAGAAGTCTGTGCAGAACAGAGGAAGAGTTATTTACATCTACAAGACAACTCCACTTTCCTCTATAGGCAGAGGAGAGAGAGTCAGACCCTGCTCCCAAAGGGGTCACCTGAACAGAACTTCCCAAGGGGGCCTCTTTCCTGAAGGAATGCGCACCTCTCATCCCTGTCACATCCTACTGTCCTTGTAGTCTGTACTTGCTGATAGGAACACAAGCCTATGGATAATTTCTATTCCATGAGCACATGTTCCATGTGTTTTATTAATCTAACACAGGCAGATGCTGACTGTACAGACTACTGGTCTGCTATGTCAATGCCACTATGAGAAGCAGGAACTTGTCCAACTGAGGCCCACCTGACTATCTAAATGCACATCATCAGTACAAACTGACCTCCCTACTGCTTCCTACCCTCACACTTGTCCTAGAAAGATTTTTGTATATGAAGCTAAGAATAAAGGCTTTTCCTCTTTTTCTTCTATTTTAAAGAACACATTTCTTCTTTTTCTTTTTTTTTTTTTTTTGAGACAAACTCTCACTCTGTCACCCAGGCTGGAGTGCAGTGGCACGATCTCGGCTTACTGCAACCTCTGCATTCCAGGTTCAAGCGATTCACTTGCCTCAGCCTCCCGAATAGCTGGGACAACAGATGCCTGACAACATGCTGGCTAATTTTTGTATTTTTAGTAGAGATGGGGCTTCACCACGTTGGCTAGGCTGGTCTCGAATCCCCAATGTTCAGTGATCTGCCCATCTCTGCCTCTCAAAGTGCTGGGATTACAGGCATGAGCCACTGCGCCTGACAAATAACACATTTCTATAAAACCTAGAGCTATCCAATGGTTCATAATCAGAACTATGATTCTGCTTTCGTGGTAGCTCATACCTGTAATCCCAGTACTCTGGGAGGCCAAGGCAGGTGGATCACCTGAGGTCAGGAATTTGAGACCAGCCTGGCCAACATGGTGAAACCCCCAACTCTATTAAAAAAAAATACATACATATACACACACACACACACACACACACACACACAAATTAGCCAGGTGTGGTGGCACGTGACAGTAGCTACTTGGGAGGCTAAAGCACGAGAACTGGTTGAACCTGCAGGGCGGAGATTGTGAGCTGAGATTGCACCACTGCACTCCAGCCTGGGTGACAGAGCAAGACCTTGTCTCAAAAAAAAAAAAAAAAAAAAAAAAAAAAAAGTTTTTTTTTTTCTATATGTTTAAAGAATTATTGTTAGATGCTCAAAGAATTATTGCAGTCGAATGGAGAGAAGCCAACCATAGTTCTGTTGGATGAACAATGGTCTGTTGATATTCTGCATTCCATGAGCACATGGGCTATGTGCCTCGTTATATCTTTGTCAAGCCTGCTATGAGAAGCAAAACTTGTCTAAGTGAGGTCCTCCTGGTTGTCTAGAACACACATTGTGTGTTCTAATAATACCTTATTCGATTTTATATCTGGCCTATTCTGCCTCTTCCAGAGACCCTGACAGGGTAATTCCTGTTTCTCAGGATTCAATCTCCTGGGATAACTTGGCTTACTGACTTACCAAAAAATGAGGCTCTTGAATCATTTTAGGGAAGCCAAAGCAAAACCCGGAGACCCAGAGGTTGTTCCATTTCTCTCCTGGGAGCCTTCACCTAATAGTGGCAACACTGCCCTCTCCTTAATTAGCTAGGTGTGCTTGCTACCATTTTAAACAATACAGGCCGGGCGTGGTGGCTCACGCCTGTAATCCAAGCACTTTGGGAGGCCAAGGCAGGCTAATCACGAGGTCAGAGTTCAAGACCAGCCTGGCCAACATGGTGAAACCACGTCTCTAACAAAAATACAAAAAATTAGCGGGGTATAGTGGCGGGTGCCTATAATCTCAGCTACTTGGGAGGCTGAGGCAGGAGAATTGCTTGAACCCAGGAGGCGGAGGTTGCAGTGAGCCGAGATTGCACCATTGCACTCTACCCCCGGAGACAGAGTGAGACTCCATCAAAAATTAGCTGGGTGCGGTGGCATGTGACTGCAATTCCAGCTACTCCAGAGGCCCAGCAGGATAATTGCTTGATCCTCGGAGGTGGAGGTTGCAGTGAGCCGAGATCGCGCCACTGCACTCAGCCCTGGGTGACAGAGCGAGACTCTGTCTCGAAAAAAACAAACAAAAGGCCGGGCATGGTGGCTCAAGCCTGTAATCCCAGCACTTTGGGAGGCCGAGACGGGCGGATCACGAGGTCAGGAGATCGAGACCATCCTGGCTAACACAGTGAAACCCCGTCTCTACTAAAAAATACAAAAAACTAGCCGGGCGAGGTGGCAGGCGCCTGTAGTCCCAGCTACTCGGGAGGCTGAGGCAGGAGAATGGCGTAAACCCGGGAGGCGGAGTTTGCAGTGAGCTGAGATCCAGCCACTGCACTCCAGCGCGGGCGACAGACCAAGACTCCGTCTCAAAAAAAAAAAAAAAAAAAAAAAAAACCAAACAAAAAAACCACCACATTCCTTAGGGTTGCCCATATAGGTGATATAAATATACAGCAAAGAAAGAGATGGCAGTTTTTTTTTTTTTTTTTTTTTGAGACGGAGTCTCGCTCTGTCGCCCAGGCTGGAGTGCAGTGGCGCAATCTCGGCTCACTGCAAGCTCCGCCTCCCGGGTTCACACCATTCTCCTGCCTCAGCCTCCCGAGTAGCTGGGACTACAGGCACCCGCCACTGCGCCTGGCTAATTTTTTCTATTTTTAGTAGAGACGGGGTTTCACCATGGTCTCGATCTCCTGACCTTGTGATCCGCCCACCTCGGCCTCCCAAAGTGCTGGGATTACAGGCGTGAGCCACCGCGCCCGGCCAGGCAGTTTTTTTTGAGATGGAGTCTCGCTCTATCATCCAGGCTGGAGTTCAGTGGCACAATCTCGGTTCACTATGACTTCTACCTCCTGGGTTCAAGTGATTCTTGTGAGATGGCAGTTAACTCTGGGTGTCAAGCGATATGGACACCCATGGGGCTTCTCAGGCACCAGAAATGTGGTGGGTGCTGGGGTGTTTGTCATTTTTCTTTAAACTCTATGTGTCTTTTGCATTGTTCTAAGTGTATGATACACTTCTCTCTCCGATATATACAAAGAAAAAGAGAGGGAAAGAGTGTGGACCCGTTGGGTGTGCTGGCTCAAGCCTGTAATCCCAGCACTTTGGGAGGCCGAGGCGGGTGGATCACAAGGTCAGGAGATCGAGACCATCCTGGCTAACATGGTGAAACCCCGTCTCTACTAAAAATACAAAAAGAAATTAGCTGGGCGGGGTGAGAGGTTGAGGCGGGAGAATGGCGTGAACCCGGGAGGCAGAGCTTGCAGTGAGCTGAGATCGTGCCACTGCACTCCAGCCTGGATGACAGAGCTTCTCTGTCTCAAAAAAAAAAAAAAAAAAAGAGAGTGGCCTCACGGAAGAAATATGCCACTAGCCATGGCCTCTCTTCATTCAGCACTGCAGAGTCAATGTTACTGTCTAAGTCCCTGCCATGACCACTCTGATTAAGAGGGCTCCTGGGGCCGGGCACGGTGGCTCACACCTGTAATCCCAGCACTTTGGGAGGTCAAGGCAGGCAGACTGCCTGAGGTCAGAAGTTCTAGACCAGCCTGGACAACATGGTGAAACCCCGTCTATACTAAGAACACAAAAATTATCCAGGTGTGGTGGTGGGCACCTGTAATTGCAGCTACTGGGGAGGTTGAGGTGGAATTGCTCGAACCCAGGAGGCAGATGTTGCAGTGAGCCAAGATTGCGCCATTGCATTCCAGCCTGAGTGACGAGCAAAACTCCATCTTTGGGGGAAAAAAAAAAAGGCCAGGCACGGTGGTTCACGCCTATAATCCCAGCACATTGAGAGGCAGGCGGATCCCCTGAGGTCAAGAGTTTTTTTTGTTTGTTTTTTTTTTTTTTGTTTGTTTGTTTTTTTTGAGAATTCGCACAGGCTGGAATGCAGTGGCGTGATCTTGGCTCACTGCAAGCTCCGCCTCCCGGGTTCACGCTATTCTCCTCCCTCAGCCTCCCGAGTAGCTGGGACTACATACAAGCGCCTGCCACCACGCTCGGCTAATTTTTTTGTATTTTTAGTAGAGACAGGGTTTCACTGTGTTAGCCAGGATGGTCTCGATCTCCTGACCTCGTGATCCGCCTGTCTCGGCCTCCCAAGGTGCTGGGATTACAGGCGTGAGCCACTGTGCCTGGCCGAGGTCAAGAGTTTGACACCAGCCTGGCTAACATGGTGAAACCCCGTCTCTACTAAAAATACAAAAAAGTAGCCAGGTGTGGTGGTGAGTCCCTGTAATCCCAGCTACTCAGGAGGCTGCGGTGGCAGAATTGCTTAAACCCAGGAGGTGGAGGTTGCAGTGAGCCAAGATCATGCCACTGCACTCCAGCCTGGGCGAGAGAGAGAGACTCTGTCTCAAAAACATAAAGAAAAGAAGGTTCCTGGAAATAGCATTTGCACAGGCCCTTACAAAGCAAAACTCTCGGTCAGGCGCAGTGGCTCACTCCTGTAGTCCCAGCACTTTGGGAGGCCAAGGTAGGCAGATCACCTGAGGTCAGGAGTTTGAGACCAGCCTGGCCAACATGGCAAAACCCCGTCTCTACTAAAAATACAGAAATTAGCCAGGCGCAGTGGTAGATGCCTGTAATCCCACTACTTGAAAGGCTGAGGCAGGAGAACTGCTTGAAACCAGGAGGTGGAGGTTACCGTGAGCTGAGATTGCATCACTAAACTCCACGGGTGACAGAGTGAGATTCCTTCACACACAAAAAAGAAACTCTCAGACTCTCAGGGGCTCCTGATGAGCATCAAAGCAGCTGTGTAGGAGAGACCCACTTGGACATATTTTCTACTTGAAGGGATTCTGTTTCTTCAGCTGACCTGGCCGGGTGGCATACAAAACCAATGGGTTCTAGCTATGTAGATTATTCCTGATCGACGAAGGAGGTCTGAAAGGTTAAATCAAAACCCCCACTATTGTAAAACAGCAAGGGAAAACCATTATTTTACTACTTCTGGTAAAGGTATCTACAAGGTAGCACAGATAAGCCCCAAGCTACCTACCTGCCTTGGCAAAAAAGTGAAAGTAACACCCTGAAATCATCATCTTGGATAACTGAGGATCATGAGGATTATCCCAAACTTGACGTCTGACTATATGTGTTAGCAAGATAGCAGTGGGATTGTAAGAGGGACCAAAAAATAGAAAAAAAAAAAAAGCTACTTTATGCCAGTTACTGTGACTGTTAAGTGACTGAGGCTCTTCTATGTTTTGTCATTTCATGGCAGAAGTACTCACTTAAATAGTAACGGAGACCCAACCACAAGAAAGTGCCACTGGGCCTTACACACCAAGCTTGGAACTCACCGTGTTTACACTTGGAGCATTGCTGTCAGAGGGAAACAGAAGAGAACACGTTAAGGGCACACTGACCAAAGGTTCCATGTCACACATACAAAGTGCAGAGGCTTCTGCTCACCATGTGATTGCAGCCTCCATTCTTCTCAATGCAGATGTTGCACTTGGGACACTGAGGAGACAGAAGGGTGCCATTAGGCTCACATACCACCAGGTTGGTTTTAAGACAAATTACACAAAGCTCCTGGCACCTGTGCCCAGTTGCTCATCATGCGAGCACTTCTGGGGAGGAGCATCTCACTTAAATGTGGCAGGTCACTGAGGCTGGAACAGCAATTCAAGGAAATGACGTCAGCATATTTGGCTTTGAAACGCTTCAAGCACCAGCTGAACCCCACTAAGTCTTCCACCATCTGCCCCTGCCACGAAGCTGCTCAGATTAAGCACAGGTTGAATGAGCAGAAAACCTGCCTTCTTGAGAGGACTGGCAAAGCAGCACAGGAGCTGCCACAAAGGATTCAGTCATGGTCAGCTTGCCTGAACTTCTGCTTCGAGAAGAGGGTAAGGAAACCACATCTAAAGCTCCTCTCTACCATTTGAGAGATGCCAGCAACCTGAAGCAGCAATGAAGAGACCAGTCTGATGCTGTGATCTCCCACTGCTATGAAGTCGACCATGTTTAATAATGTTGTTATTAAAACTGTGCTTGTGAGTGCATACTCTGCGAGTGACTGACAAAGGGTACAGTGGCCCCTAGAGCCCGCGGACCATACTTTCCCACGGGAAACTTCAAAATGAGTATCGTGCAGGTCTGAGCTTGCATTACAGCCTTACTATGTATCAAGTATGACTATTAACCACCTCCTTTTCAGAGCTGTTAAAGACTGGTAGTTCTCTTCTAATTAGTTCCCCCTTTTCTGGCATTTTGGCATTTCATAATAAAGAAAAAATGCACCCAATGCATCCTGTGATAAACTGCTACAAGCTGCCTACTCTGCATGAAGGTCCCCAACCCCCAGTCCTCAGGAAGGGCCCTGGGGCTCTGGGTATTCTGCTCTCAGATGGCAAATCTCCAAGGCTAGGCCCTGGGCAGCAATAAGAGGGCAGATCCATGAGAGGTAAAATACAATCCTTACATCTTTAGTGTGAGCACTAATGTAGTTGGCTGTTTCAGAGTCGTCTGCACACTTCGTGAGCCATTTCCGGATCGTGGCGCAGTCTGTGGGTGCATGATACATCTGACGACACTTGAAACTTAAAATTGGAAAAGAAAAACATTCAAATATTCATTAAGTCAGGGTCCCATGTTTAAAATCCAAGTCAACAAATCATGAATTAGAGCTTTTCTTTTCTTTTCTTTTTTTGAGACGGAGTCTTGCTTTGTCGTCAGGCTGGAGTGCAGTGGCGCAATCTCGGCTTACTGCAAGCTCCGCCTCCTGGCTTCACACCATTCTCCTGCCTCAGCTTCCCAAGTAGCTGGGACTATAGGCGCCCACCACAACACCCGGATAATTTTTTGTATTTTTAGTAGAGACAGGTTTCACCGTGTTAGCCAGGATGGTCTCGATCTCCTGACCTTGTGATCCGCCCACCTCAGCCTCCCAAAGTGCTGGGATTACAGGCGTGAGCCACTGCGCCCAGCCTAATTTTTGTATTTTTAGTAGAGATGGGGTTTCACCATGTTGGCCAGGATGGTCTTCATCTCTTGACCTTATGATCTGCTCGCCTCGGTCTCCCAAAGTGCTGGGATTACAGGTGTGGGCCATCCTGCCTGGTCTAGAGCTTTTCAAATAGGTAAAGTTCTCTCTCAAGGCCCATGGAACCTTTACTTACTCATGAGTTATACTGAAATACTGCATGAGTGTCTCTTCAACTTAAGCCTTTGTAAGACATGCTCTAACATGCACAAATAAAATGTTTCTGTAGACCGAGTGCAATGGTTCATGCTTGTAATCCTAGTACTATGGAAGGTCAAGATGGGAGGACTGCTTGAGCCCAAGAGTTTGAAGCCAGCCTGGACAACATGGTGAGACCCCATCTCTACAAAAAATGAAAAAATTAGCAAGGTGTGGTGGCATGTGTCTGTAGTCCCAGCTATTACAGAGTCTAAGGTAGGAGGATTGCCTGAGCTCTGGAGGTCAAGGCTGCAGTGAGCTGTATTCGCATCACTGTACTACAACGTGGGCAACTGAGAGAGACCCTGTTTAAAAAAAAAAAAAAGGCCGGGCGCGGTGGCTCAAGCCTGTAATCCCAGCACTTTGGGAGGCCAAGACAGGCGGATCACGAGGTCAGGAGATCGAGACCATCCTGCCTAACACGGTGAAACCCCGTCTCTACTAAAAAAAAATATAAAAACTAGCCGGGCGAGGTGGCGGGCGCCTGTAGTCCCAGCTACTTGGGAGGCTGAGGCAGGAGAATGGCGTAAACCCAGGAGGCGGAGCTTGCAGTGAGCTGAGATCCGGCCACTGCACTCCAGCCTGGGCGACAGAGCGAAACTCCGTCTAAAAAAAAAAAAAAAAAAAAAAGGATTGCTTTAGACCAGGAGTTTGAGACCAACGTAGGCAACATACGAAGACCCTACCTCTACAATCTTTTTTTTTTTTGAGACGGAGTTTCGCTCTTGTCACCCAGGTTGGAGTGCAATGGCATGATCTCGGCTCACTGCAACCTCTGCTTCCCTGGTTCAAGTGATTTTCCTGCCTCAGCCTCCTGAGTAGCTGAGATTACAGGCTCCTGCCACTACACCTGGCTAATTTTTGTATTTTTAGTAGAGACGGGATTTCACCATGTTGGCCAGGCTAGTCTTGAATTCCTGACCTTAGGTGATCCACCCGCCTCGGCCTCCTAAAGTACTGGGGTCACAGGCGTGAGCCACTGCACCTGGTCTCTACAACAAATTTTTAAAAATTAGCCGGGCATCTGTAGTTTCAGCTACTTGGAAGGCTAAGGCAGAAGGATCACTTCATACCAGGGGTTTGAGGCTGCAGTGAGCTATGCTATGTATGTTAAATATCTTGTTTAAACATCTTGTTTACCAACCCCCAAGATGTCAAACACAGAGCTATGACTCTCATAGGGCATGGTGAGGTGCTCTGAGAAGGACTCCTTAGCTCAGACCTAAGGCAGGATTGAGATCCACTTCTGGGAGTCTCATCTGATTTCCCAGTCAGACATGCACACAAGGATGCACAAATGCCAGAACTTGCAAAATCTGTAGGGTCATGACATATCTGATGACACTGAAACTTAAAACAGAAAAAAAAAAAAGACTCCAATATTTGTCGGGCTAGGCTTCCATACTTTCAATTTTTCTTTGGTGGAGGCCAACAGTACTTTGTGGCTAGAAAAGGCCCTCAGGCAAATACCCAGGGAAGTAACTTCATAAAGTGGGACACAAGGATAAAGAACAATTACAAGGAGTCTCTCTGAATCGCTGTGATCCTGGTGGCTGCCTGATTTAAAATGAAAGAACCACTACATTAGTGATTCTTAATCTTTGGTGTCAATAATGTTTTGAAATACAGGCATGTGCACACACACACACACCTCATTTTCCAAGCAGTTTCTCTGAAGCCCCACCATGAATATTCCAGGGAGGTATGATTAGGACAGATCTGGGCCTAAATTATGGTTCTACTATTTACTAGGTTTACCTTGTACCTTAATATCTTCATAGAATATAAGGGTCATAGCCAGGCGCAGTGGCTCAATCCTGTAATCCCAGTACTTTGGGAGGCCAAGGTGGGCAGATCACGAGGTCAGGAGTTTGAGACCAGCCTGGCCAACATAATGAAACCCCGTCTCTACTAAAAATACAAAAATCAGCCAGGCATGATGGCATGTGCCTGTAATCTCAGCTACTCAGGAGGCTGAGGTAGGAGAATTGCTTGACCCTGGGAGGTGGAGGTTGTGGTGAGCAAAGTATGCACCACTGCACTCCACCTGGGCTACAAAGCAAGACTCCGTCTCAAGAAAACAACAAAAAATGAGAGAATATAAGGGTCATATACAGTTGTGATAATGCAAGGTAAGTGATCAGGATAGTGTCTGTCATCTGGTAAGCCTTCGGTAAACTTTAGTTATTCCCATGGTATCTACTGAATGAAGTGAACCTTCAGTAGATGTAGAATATATTTATGACTTAGTTTTACAAAAATTAGCCAAGAAAGGCCAAGATAGAGAAAGATTAAAATGCTGAAGATTATACCTTTCAAACACAGTAATATGTGATTAGCTATGCAGATAGATACATCCCACACAATCTCTGGGCCATGAGACTTAGTAGCATAAGCCACAACACATTCTCCAAGAACCTGTGTCAATTCCTTGCCTCCAGACTGAGCATGTATTGAAGACCTAGTGGAATATGAGATGCTGGGCATAAACCTACCCACTTGGAGCACAGCTGCTCTGTTGGCTCAGAGACCCTGCCTCTTCCAGTGCCGCCCTCACATGGAGCAACAGCAGTGGTGCTTTGGAGGATGGGGCATGAGCCCAGGGCTGCTCAGCACTCACACTCACTCTTACCAGAAGACCTCGTTGCACCGATTGCACTGTACTCGGCGAGCTCTAGGCTCTTGTACCCGAATAACCATGGGGCAGTCTGCACCAGGGCACAGCTGGAGCTGGTAATGACTCTGTGAACACACCAAGAGGAAACAATGAGGACATCTCTTAGTTGCTGTCTAAAAATCAGAACCCCCTGAATATTTAAACACTTTCTGTTCTCCCAGCTGATGACTTATATCAAGTAGTTATATAAATTCAGAAAGGATGTTGTGAAAACCAAACATAAGCCAGATATTAAAGAGGAACTTAGGACGTCTAGCTTAAACCAGGTAGCAACTCACTGGAATGATCTAAGGTTATACAGAATTGCACCAGGCATGGTGGCTCCTGCCTGTAGTCCTAGCTACTAAGGAGGCTGAGGTGGGAAGACTGCTTGAGGCCTGAAATTTGAGGCAGCAGTGAGCTGATTGCACCAATGCATTCCAGCCTGGATGACAGCAAAACTCTGTCTCCAAAAAAATTAAAAAATAACAAATAAAGCCAGACACAGTGGCTCATGCCTTGTAATCCCAGCACTTTGGGAGGCCGAGGCAGGCGGATCACCTGAGGTCAGGACTTTGAGACTAGACCAACATGGTGAAACCCCGTCTCTACTAAAAAACACAAAAATTAGTTGGGGCCGGGCGCGGTGGCTCAAGCCTGTAATCCCAGCACTTTGGGAGGCCGAGACGGGCAGATCACAAGGTCAGGAGATCGAGACCATCCTGGCTAGCATGGTGAAACTCCGTCTCTACTAAAAAATACAAAAAAAACTAGCCAGGCGAGGTGGCGGGCGCCTGTAGTCCCAGCTACTCGGGAGGCTGAGGCAGGAGAATGGTGTAAACCCGGGAGGCGGAGCTGGGAGACAGCAGTTGCAGTGAGCTAAGATTGTGCCACCACTGTACTCCAGCCTGGGCGACAGAGTGAGACTCCATCTCAAAAAAAACGAAAAAAAAAAAAAAAAAAGTATCTCTGAGGAGCTCAATGACCCTCAAAGGCAGCAAACAGCATAAAGAACAAGGCCTTCTATTTATCCTGTGGCATGTGCATGACAAGAACCAGACCATAAATTAATCTGGAAAGCTTAGGCAAAAAAGACAAAGATGAAAGTTATGCTGCATCGGGTGGATGGCTTGAGCTCAGGAGTTCGAGACTAGCCTGGGCAACATGGTGAAACACCCATCTTTACAAAAAATACAAAAATTAGCTGAGTTTGGTGGTGCATGCCAGTAGTCCCACCTGCTCGGGAGGCTAAGGAGGACTGCTTGAGTCTGGGAGGTCAGAGGCTGCAGTGAGCCATGTTTGTGCCTCTGCACTCCAGCCTGGGTGACAGAGTAAAACCCTGTCTTCCCCACCAAAAAAAAAAAAAAAAAGAAAATTATACTGCATGGAATCAGCAGGCCTAGCAAATGGCCTAAAAGAGGGAAAGGACTACAAAAGTGACCATGCTGGAATCCCGGACAAGTTTTCCAATTACTCAAAAAGTAATACCCCTTCTCTCTGCTCAACCACACAGGGAACTGAATATAACAGCAGCTCCTAAATATGCCTAATTTATATTCATCCACTGAACACACAATAGCTTCTTTAAGCCACTATGTACAAGGTGGGGATGTGTGTCTATGTAAGAGAAAATCAAGACTCAGAATTTAAAAAAAAAAAAAAAAAAAAAGAGGCTGGGTGCAGTGGCTCACGCCTGTAATCCCAGCACTTTGGGAGGCCGAGGCAGGCAGATCATGAGGTCAAGAGATTGAGATCATCTTGGCCAACATGGTGAAACCCTATCTCTACTAAAAATACAAAAATTAGCTGGGAGCGGTGGCGCATGCCTGTAGTCCCAGCTACTCAGCAGGCTGAGGCAGGAGAATCGCTTAAACCTGTGAGGTGAAGGCTGCAGTGAGCCAAGATCGCGCCACTGCACTCCAGCCAGGCAACATAGCAAGGCACTGTCTCACAAGAGAAAAAAAAGAGTGGTCACAAAGCAAGGAAGTATCCAAGTTTCACACAATGGTGTGTCTGACTCTAGGGCCTGTACTCTTCACTATCACTCTAGCGGTTTTCAAACTTTTTTAAACCTATGGAGCTCTTTCTTCGAACACTATCACTTAATGTCACCCTAGTCTATAAAGTAAGTAACGACCCTCTGTTGGAAGGTAGGCCCAGGAAGACAGAAGGCAGAACAAAGGCTGGCCATACCTCCACATAGTCCCTGAAGAGGTAGCGCCTGTATTTCTCTCTCAATTCTTCATTGGGAAGCAATGGAAACACAAAGTCCTCTGGTGTACGGAGTGGACAGTCCTGAGCCATACAAGAGACTCCTGTTGAACAAAAACAACCTGATGGGGCCAGGTACAATGGCTCATGCCTGTAATCCCAGCACTTTGGGAGGCCAAGGCAGGCAGATCACCTGAGGTCGGGAGTTCGAGACCAGTCTGACCAACATGGTGAAACCCCGTCTCCATTAAAAATACAAAATTAGCCGGGCATGGTGGCACATGCCTGTAATCCCAGTTACTTGGGAGGCTGAGGCAGGAGAATCGCTTGAACCCGGGAGGCGGAGGTTGTGGTGAGCTGAGATCGTGCGATTGCACTCCAGCCTGGGCAACAAGAGCGATGTCTCAAAAACAAAAACAAAAACAAAACAAAAAAAACAAACAGGCCGGGCGTGGTGGCTCAAGCCTATAATCCCAGCACTTTGGGAGGCCGAGACGGGAGGATCACGAGGTCAGGAGATTGAGATCATCCTGGCTAACACGGTGAAACCCCATCTCTACTAAAAAATACAAAAAACTAGCTGGGCGAGGTGGCAAGCGCCTATAGTCCCAGCTACTTGGGAGGCTGAGGCAGGAGAATGGCGTAAACCCGGGAGGCGGAGCTTGCAGTGAGCTGAGATCCGGCCACTGCACTCCAGCCTGGGCGACAGAGCCAGACTCCATCTCAAAAAAACAAACAAAAAAACAAACGATCATGGACAACCATACTGCAGAAGACACAATGACACAATTTGCCCACCCAATTCACTCAACAAATCCAAGTTGCATAAAAGAAACCCTTCAAGCAACAGAATTTATTCAAAGAGAAATGAGCATATTTTCACCTCAATGAAACTAAAACATTATCCCAAATGATATCACTAATGGCACCATTAAATAACAAAACCATTTAAAAAATCCTTATTTAGAGTTCTTAACTAACAACTGAGTTTTATGATGTTTAACATTATTTACAGGTGATTATCACCAATTGTGGGACTCTGCAGATATCAATTAATGTGATACTAATTTGTTTCAGTATCATCAAATCACAGTATAACAAATATTCCTGTAACTAATCATCAAATTTGATTTGTGCTATGTTACCTAAATGGCAGCAAACTCTTGTGGGCATTTCTGAGTTATGGTTGCCACTTGTGGAATCAAGGTAGGCATTTTAAAGGATGGTTCTTCCAAAAGGTGAGAGAAGGTGGCTCTGCACTCACGTCAACATTTACAACAGTGTATTTAGTTTTCTCATTTTGCTGAGGACTAGGGAAACCTTTGTCACTGTTTGTATTGATGTATTTGAAAGTCATTAGTTCTGATGATAAAAATCTCAATCAGGCTCAGAAGAAAATACTCAGTTTACTTGAGTACATGAAAAAGCAGAGTCAAAGATAAACAATGCCAGCTTTTTATAAGTTCTGTGGCAGACTCACCCACGCCCACGCCGTCCTTGATGAGAACTGAGCAGTGCTGCTCCCAGCAGCTGCGGCAAAACTGGTGCTGACAGGCCAAAGAGAGTAGGTTTTCCTTTCGCACAAACTGCATACACACTGCACAGTGGTGAGGGGGATGGGATGTGGGAACCTGGAGAGAAATAGAGCCACATGAGCCAAAGAGGAGTCAGGTCCAGGAGGCCATAAGGGTACCTCATGCAGCCGGGTGCATGGGAAGTGATCCTTACCCTGCAACAAGTATCAGCACTCAACTGCAATGTGTGGACTCTGAGTCCCAAGGGTACTAAGCTAAAAGTATACAACAGGAAGGCTTCCTGAAGGAGGTAGCAGCTGGGCTGGGCTTACAAAATCACCAGGATTCAGAGGCAGAAAGAAGGCTGAAATGAGAACTTACAGTGGTTTATAATGGCGGACTGAAAAACTCAGGGTTTCAGAATTGCCAAGGTCCTTTTTTTTTTTGAGACGGAGTCTCACTGTGTGGCCCAGGCTGGAGTGCAGTGGCCCGATCTCGGCTCACTGCAAGCTCCACCTCCTGGGTTCACGCCATTCTCCCGCCTCAGCCTCTGAGTAGCTGGGACTACAGGCGCCCGCCACCTCGCCCGGCTAGTTTTTTCTATTTTTAGTAGAGACGGGGTTTCACCATGTTAGCCAGGATGGTCTCGACCTCCTGACCTCGTGATCCACCCACCTCGGCCTCCCAAAGTGCTGGGATTACAGGCTTGAGCCACCGCGCCCGGCCACCAAGGTCCTTAAGAGGTCACTTAGTCCAACTTCTTTTAGAAGCTATCAGGTTTGTTTTGTAAACTACCCCTGTTAAGCACAGCAGAGTTGCCCCTCACAACTACTAGAAACCCAGTCACAAAGGTTATTAGAGGATAAGTCTATAAATCGTCTAACGGCCAACATTGTAATTTTACTTGTCAAGGACAGTGGTTTCACTATATCGATGTGTCCAAACCACAAAATACTACAGCCTTTACCAAGTTACAACTCATCCTTAATACACCAGATGTCACATGTAATTAATATGGGGAGGTGGCAGGGGGATGTAGAGACACCTACTAGGGAAGAAACTCTTCTAGAATGTGTGCAAATAACTGTATAGCATGTACTCCAGAATCCACATCATGCTACACAAACTGGCAGAGAAAGACAATCTGGGGACCTTGGCTAAAACCACAAACCAATGGAAAAGTCCACTTACAAGAACATTAGCTTCTTTTTAGTTTACTGGAAATATAAAAAAACAAGTTGAGGAAAAGAACTGGATTCTCATGTTTATCCATTTTGCTTCTGGAAACCTTTGTCTTAAGAGGCTGCAGAAATTATGTGGTGATCTGAGCCCCAATTCTGCCTTCCAAGATCTCTTTTAGCATGGCCCTCATTCAAAAAATATTTGACAAATGTTCGTTTAGCTCCTAGATACACAGGAAATTGCTATGCATTATTAAAATACAGCTTCTATGGTAGGGGTGGTAAAACAATATGAGTTAATCACTATAACACATGTGTAAAAGTTTATAGATATAATTAGGTGAGTTTCCAGAGGAATGATCCAGGAGAAAGGCTTTGTCAAAGAGGTGGCTTAGATTCTTAGATTTTTTTTTTTCCTTTAGATGGAGTCTCTGTCACCCAGGCTGGAGTGCAGTGGTGCAATCTTGGCTTGCACCAAGTGGTGCAACCTCCACCTCCCTGCCTTCAATCGTTCAAGCGATTCTCTTGCCTCAGCCTCCCAAGTAGCTAGGATTGCAGGTATGAGACGCCATGCCTGGCTAATTTTTGTATTTTTAGTAGAGATGGGGTTTCACCATGTTTGCCAGGCTGGTCTTGAACTCCTGACCTCAAGTGATCCGCCCGCCTCGACCTCCCAAAGTGCTGGGATTATGGGCGTGAGCCACTGTGCCTGGCCGGACTGGGGTCTTTAAAGGTGAATTCCCTCTCTCTAAGCGAAGGTGGAAACAGAGTCTGGACATTCTAGGAAGGGAAGGCACAAACAGAATAGAAGACATGTGCGGTAATCTCAGAAACACCAAGGCACCCAGAAAGAATGCAGTGCAGGCTGAAAGTGCAGAGAGGAAGGTGGGGCTGGAGAAGGCCAAAGGACAGGCAATGATTTAGTCCCTAACTGTAAGGAAACTTTTCAAACCGTAACAGAAGATTTAAGTCAATACTAGAACAAATACTGTGGGCATGTTGAACTATAAACAAAGCAAAGATAGCTTTTTTTTTTTTGAGACAGAGTCTTGCTTTGTCGTCCAGGCTGGAGTGCAGTGGCAAGATCTTGGCTCACTGCAAGCTCTACCTCCCAGGTTCACGCCATTCTCCTGCCTCAGCCTCCGGAGTAGCTGGGACTATAGGCACCCGCCACCACGCCCGGCTAATTTTTTTTTTGTATTTTTAGTAGAGACGGGATTTCACCGTGTTAACCAGGATGGTCTTGATCTCCTGACCTCGTGATCCGCCCGCCTTGGCCTCCCAAAGTGCTGGGATTACAGACGTGGGCCACCGCGCCTGCCCAAGCAAAGATAGCTCTTAACGACACTGCAAGCCAAAGCAAGAACCATGTGCAATCAGGAGAAGCCTCATTCAAGTAATAGACACTCACATGTTTTGATGGATTAGGCTGAACTCGAGCCTCAACAAGCAGTTGAGCAGAATTGGACTTGAATCTACAAAACAAAAAGCAGAAATGAAGGGAATCAGAAGCTAAAGACATTTTTTACCCCTGAACAATAACAGGACAGACAAAGATGTTTAGAGCATCTTTGTCTCTACTTTCTCATAGAACCAAGCTTCCTTTTATCTCAGTACAAAGACTTTTTTCCTTAAGACAGAAAATGCAAAATATAAAGGAATAATAAAAAATATAAAGCCTGATAAATTATGCTACATTTAAGAACCTCAATTCATCAGAAGATACCAAAGTCAAAAGCCAAGCCATAAGCTGGAAGATAATTCAATATATAAACTTCTAGGCCAGGCGCTGTGACTCATGCCTGTAATCCCAGCATTTTGGGAGGCCGAGGGGGGCAGATCAGTTGAGGTCAGGAGTTTGAGACCAGCCTGGCCAATATGATGAAACCCCGTTTCTACTAAAAATACAAAAATTAGCTGGGCATGGTGACACATGCCTGTAGCCCCAGCTACTTGGGAGGCTGAGGCAAGAGAATCGCTTGAACCTGGGAGGCAGAGGTTGCAATGAGTCGAGATTGTGCTATTGCACTCCAGCCTGCAAGACAGAGCGAGACTCTATCTCAAAAAGAAAAAAAAAAATCTATATATATGGCTGGGAGCAGTGGCTCACACCTGTAATCTTAGCACTTTGGGAGGCCGAGGTGGATAGATCACTTGAGGTCAGGAGTTTGAGACCAACCTGGCCAACACAGTGAAACCCCATCCGGGTGTGCTGGCTCATGCCTGTAATCCCAGCTACTTGGGAGACTGAAGTAGGAGGATCGCTAGAACCTGGGAGGTGGAGGTTGCAGTGAGCAGTGACTGCACCAGCCCGGGAGACAGAGCAAGAGTCTTGCTCTGTCTCCAAAAAAAAACCAACAAACATACACACACACACACACACACACGTATAACTGGCAAAGGATTACTATTCAGAAAAAACAAAAACATCTATCTATCTATCTATCTATCTATCTATCTATCTATCTATCTATCTCTGGTGAAGGATCAGTATTCAGAGTAAACAAAAACTCCTAAAAATCCATTTGGTTCTAGGAACTGGACATGGGAGAAGGGGGAAGGATCCATTTGGAAGAACAACATAATTCAATAAAAAATGGGGAGAAGACTTAACAGGCATTTCAAAGGAGAAGGCAGCAAAAATGGCCATTATATATGGAAAGATTCTCAACCTCCTTAATAATACAGGACATTGAAACAATTAGATGCCATTTACAGCCACTAAATCGCAAAACTTTAAGTCTTACAGTATCAGGAATACCTATATACTACTGCTGAGCATGTAAAGTGGTAAATCACTCTGGAAAACAACCTGGAATTATTTAGCAAAGGCAAAAATAAATGTATGCTATAGCCAATAATTCCTTTTCTATATTTAACTCCAGAAAAATTGTGACAGTAGGAGTCACCTACAATAATTTTCCATTTAAACAGAATTATCAAGTGGCAATAAAGTGCCACACAAAGCCCAGGTCAACAAATTTCCAAGATATTAGGAATTGGAGCAGAACAGAATTATGTCTCATCTATGTGATTTCTACCTAGTCAGAATGCTTCCCTCAACTATCCTTATTGAGGGGCCCATTTTATTCCTAATTCCCACACTAGTCTTTTAAGTCTCTTTTGCCATCCAAACCTCCACTCCTGAGTTATGCTGAAAGAGTTTAGGCAGTGAGAGATATCCTATTGCCAGAACCTATGTGGTTCCCGAGTTTTGGGCAGTAGTATAATAATAAGGCAGCAGAAGTTCATCTGCAATTTCATCTAAATGTATTCCAACTCAAGTACACAGGATGAGCGCAGTCAGTGAATCAGGAACACATTTGCTCTTTCCTGATTGTGCTGAGCTGTTCCAGCTGGTATGTCCTTCCCAGTTGTGTTCAGCCTGGAGAAGGAAAAGCATGACCTTCCTCTGTAAATTCTACTAAAAATACAAGAATTAGCCAGGCGTGGTGGCAAGTGCTGGTAATCCCAGCTACTTTGTAGGTTGTGGCAGGAGAGTTGCTTGAACCCTGGAGGCAGAGGTTGCAGTGAGGCAAGGTTGTGCCACTGCACTCCAGCCTGGGTGACAGAGTGAGACTTTGTCTCAAAAAAATAAAAAAAATCATACCATATGAGAAAGGAAGATTTACTGCAGTGTGAAAGAGTAGGAATGGTAACAAGTACTTCTCACCAGAGGGAATTTTGCTCCCCACGAGTTATTTGACAATGTTTGGAGACATTCTGATTGCCAAGGACTTAGAGGTGTGGCAGAATAGAGCCCAGGGACGCTGCCAGACATCCTACAATTCACAGATCAGGCCCCCACAACAAAGAGTTATCTAGCCTAAAATGTCAATAATGCTGAGGATGAGAAACACTGTGCGAGACAAGGGCACATGCCTCCAAGGGTGAGCATAAAAGATTCCTACAGAGGATGCAGAGGAGGAGGTGTCCCTTTTCCTGACAACTTATAAGACATCTTGGCCGGGCGCGGTGGCTCAAGCCTGTAATCCCAGCACTTTGGGAGGCCGAGACGGGCGGATCACGAGGTCAGGAGATCGAGACCATCCTGGCTAACACGGTGAAACCCCGTCTCTACTAAAAAGTACAAAAACTAGCCGGGCGAGGTGGCGAAACTGTGATCCCGCTTCTCCGGAGGCTGGGGGGCAGGAGAATGGCGTAAACCCGGGAGGAGGAGCTTGCGGTGAGCAGAGATCCGGCCACTGCACTCCAGCCTGGGTGACAGAGCCAGACTCGTCTCAAAAAAAAAAAAAAAAAAAAGACATCTTGAGACTCTAAGGTCTGGCGCAGGTCTCTAGTTCTGGAGGAGGTGGAAAGAAATACTCAAATACACTGCTGGTAGAGGTGGTGGGTGGTAAAGCAGCCTGTATTTTTTTTTTTTTTGAGCGAGTCTCCTCTGCCACCAGGCTTTTTTTTTTTTTTTTTTTTTTTTTTTTTTTTTTGAGACGGAGTCTCACTCTGCCACCAGGCTGGAGTGCAGTGACGCAATCTTGGCTCACTGCAACCTCCGCCTCCAGGGTTTAAGCGATTCTGTTGCCTCAGCCTTCTGAGTAGCTGGGACTACAGGAGTGCACCACCACGCCAGGTTAATTTTCATATTTTTAGTAGAGACAGGGTTTCACCATGGTGGCCAGGCTGATTTCAACTCCTGACCTCAGGTGATCCGCTCGCCTCAGCCTCCCAAAGTGCTGAGATTACAGGCGTAAGCCACCACGTACGGCCAGCAGCCTACATTTTCTAAAGGAAATATGACTTGTACTATGATACAATCCTCAAGTTGACATATCCAAAAGAAGTAAAAGATGTTGGCGTGTGTTACCTAGAAACGCACTGATTAAAAATTAACAATGGGAAAGAAAATCTGAATTAACTTCACTGTGCAACAACAGAGGTTTGGAAAAAGCATGGAATATCTACGATAGAATACTGTGCTAGTATAAAACGGGGGTAGAAGAATATACTGAAGACATAGGGAAAGTTCACAACATATTAAGAGAAGAGGATGGAAAACAGAATCCAATGTTTTAAAAATATACCATGCATATTGGCATACAGTCCAAAATGTAAACAATAATCACCATGGAGAGCAGAGCTATGGGCAATGTTATCTCTCCTCCCCCAAATACCTTACCTGTCCAATATCTCTGAAACTTGCCAGTGGAAATTAACTAATATAAGTTTAGCAACTGAATGAGATACCTAGAAAGAAGAAAGAAAAAAAATCGAATTATAATTGCATTTTCTTCTAAGGTGTTTCACATTTTGAGAACCGCATACATTCATGTCTATGCCAAGCCCAGACTGGATTACCAAATTCTTCCTCTTGGTTCTCTGCTTTGTCTTTTAAGTTCAGACTCTTACAATCTTAGTGATTTCAAGAATCTCTTGATTTTCGATCTTTGTGTTCATTAATAAACCTTTCAAGAAAATTAATTTCATTTGAAACTTAAAGACACTCATTTTACAATAACAACCTAGCATCTATTAATAACATAAACAACAGAGCTGGGGTTTCCTTCATGTCATATATGTTCCCTCAAGCTGCTGTAGGAGATTGTACACCAGAAGCACATCTCTATTAAGGCCTGTTACTTGTAGAAAATCCCCAGGTCTGGGTTTGCATAAACCCTATAGAAACACCAGAAAACAACCAACAAAACATAAAAACCCAAAACTCAGTTTAAAATCACTGAATTCCCAGCAGCCAATGAGTCCTAGTTGCAAGGACAGTTTCAAAATTTGTGGGCAGCCTTTCTGGCCTCTATATGCTCTTAGGGGACATTTAAAGCACATGGTTATAGCTACTAAAGAACCTTAGAAGGTGGTTGAGCTAGCAATTCTATTTCTGTAAAGTCTCCCTGAGGAAATGACAGAGGATATGTTTACCACAGGATTATTTACAATAGTAAAAAATTAGAAATAACCTAAATATCCAACAAAAATGAGTTAAATAATATATGATAGATCTATGCAATGGACTACTACGTGGTTATTTTAAAAGATTTAGTTTATTGACATAGAAAGATGTTCTTTTTATTTTTTTGAGACAGTCTTTGTCACCCAGGCCGGAGTGCACTGGCTGACCTCAGCTCACTGCAACCTCTGTCTCCCAGGCTCAAGTGATTCTCCTGCCTCAGTCTCCCGAGTAGCTGGGATTACAGGCATGCGCTACCACGCCCAGCTAATTTTTGTATCTTTAGTAGAGACAGGGTTTCACCATGTTGGCCAGGCTGGTCTTGAACTCCTGACCTCAGGTTATCCGCCTACCTTGGTCTCCCAAAGTGCTGGGATTACAGGTGTGACCCATTGCACCCCGCCACTTTTTTTTGTTTGTTTTTTAAATAATGAGCTGCGCTATGTTGTCTAGACTGGAATATAAGGCTATTCACAGGCATGATCAGAGCACACTACAGCTTTGAACTCCTGGGCTCAAGTGATCCTTCCACCTCAACCTCTCGGGCACTACAGGTGCATATCACTTCACCCACCTTAGAAGCTCATATTTTAATGTTAGGTTAAAGCAGCATATAAGCATCTACATGTTATAGTCGTAATTGAGACGTAAGCTAGTTACAAAACACCCTAAGTATCAAGACTTGGGTGAGACCACAGAAGACTGGGATGTGTTTGGAAGCCTTAGATCATCAGGCTTCCCAGAGAAAGCAATACACACCATGAGGGTACTACTAAAGCAAGGAGAAAGTAGGAGCATATTTACAGTTAGGGTGACAAGAAAACACATAGAACATTGTCTGCTCACTGGACTGAGTCCTTACACAAGAGCTACCATGGATCTGTAAGGTAGTATGTGCCTGGTCCACAGATAAGAACTGCAGCAGAGGAAAGACACACAGTGACCACCACATGATCCCTCCTTCTAGCACTCGAGTCACTCCTGAAAGGAGACAAGTGAGCACCTACTAAACAAGGGCACATCCCAGTATATAATGAGTGTCAAAGGCTATGGAATCAGTGAGTGCTTCCTGTCCTATAGTCCAGGTACATCTGGAGAAAAATCAAGGACTCAAGACAGCTTACTTCGCTCAGGATGGGGGTCCCTATTTTCCTTCCAAGGTAAGTGGCATCTGACCCATGCATGCTGCCACAGTATTTTCTTGCAGAAGCCCATGTAGACTTTAGGCCTAGGTTTCCCAAATTATGGCTGGTATCCTCAACAAAGCTATTCGTCCCCAAAAGACCACTATCACAAAATGAGAAGAGAGACAAGACATCTTGTTTAAACTTTAACAACTGCTGAAATACAGCCTTTGGATACAAATAGCTTTTTAATTTATTTTTTATATTATTATTATTATTATTATATATTTTTTGAGATGGAGTCTCACTCTGTCGCCCGGGCTGGAGTGCAGTGGTGCGATCTCAGCTCACTGCAAGCTCCGCCTCCCGGGTTCACGCCACTCTCCTGCCTCAGCCTCCCGAGTAGCTGGGACTACAGGCACTTGCCACCATGCCGGGCTAATTTTTTATAGTTTTAGTAGAGACAGAGTTTCCCCGTGTTAGCCAGGATGCTCTTGATCTCCTGACCTCGTCATCTGCCCGCCTTGGCCTTCCAAAGTGCTGGGATTACAGGTGTGAGTCAGCACGCCCAGCCTATTTTATTATTATTATTTTTTGAGATAGGATCTCACTATGTTTCTCAGGCTAAAGTGCAGTGGCGTGATCGCGGCTCACTGCAACCTCCACTTCCTGGGCTCAAGTGATACTCCCAGCTCAGCCTCCTGAATAGCTGGGACTACAGGTGCAAGCCACCACGTCCAGTCAATTTTTTAAAATTTTGTAGAGACATGGTTTCTCCATGTTGCCTAGTTTACTGCTGAACTCCTAAGCGCAAACAATCTGCCTGCCTCGGCCTCCCAAAGTGCAAAGATTACAGGTGTGAGCCACTGAGCCCAGCCCTTTTTTTTTTTTGAGACAGAGTCTCCCTCTGTCACCCTGGCTGGAGTGCAGTGGTACGATCTTGACTTACTGCAACCTCCGCCTCCCAGATTCAAGCAATTCTCTGCCTCAGCCTCCCAAGTAGCTGGGATTACAGGCGCCTGCCACCACATCAATCTTTTTTTTTTTTTTTTGAGAAGGCGTCTCTCTCTGTTGCCCAGGCTGGAGTGCAGTGGTGCAATCTCGGCTCACTGCAAGTTCCACCTCCCAGGTTCGCACCATTCTCCTGCCTCAGTCTCCCAAGTAGCTGGGACTACAGGCGCCACCACGCCCAGCTAATTTTTCTTTTGTATTTTTCAGTAGAGATGGGGTTTCACCGTGTTAGCCAGGGTGGTCTCGATCTCCTGACCTCGTGATCCGCCCGCCTCGGCCTCCCAAAGTGCTGGGATTACAGGCGTGAGCCACCGCACCCGGCCAATTTTTGTAGTTTTAGTAGAGACGGGGTTTCACCATCTTGGCCAGGCTGGTCTTGAACTCCTGACCTCATGATCCACCAGCCTCAGACTCCCAAAGTGCTGGGATTAGAGGCATGAGCCACCGTGCCCAGCCTATTTTTTAAAATAGAGATGAGGCTGTGTTGTCCAGGCGACAGTACGGTGGCTGTTCACAGACACGATCCTACTACTGATGAGCACAAGGGTTTTTTGTTCTGTTTTTCACAGACAGGGTCTTGTTTTGTTGTACAGGTTGGAATGCAGTGGCATGATCATTGCTCACTGTAACCAAGAACTCCTGGGTTCGAGCAATACTCTCACCTCAGCCTCCCAAGACACTAAGACTACAAGCCCATACCACCACCCCCAGCTAATCTGTTGTTGCTGTTACAGAGAAGAGCTCATTATATTGCTCAGGCTGGTCTCAAACTCCTGGTCTCGAGTGATACTCCTGCAGCACAGGAGTTTTGACCTGCTGTTTCCAATCTAGGTCAGTTTACCCCTCAAATAGTTTTAAAAAACATGAAGTGGGGCCAGGTGCAGTGGCTCACACCTGTAATTCCAGCACTTTGGAAGGCCGAGGCGGGTGGATCACAAGGTCAGGAGATCAAGACCAGCTTGGCTAATACAGTGACATCCCGTCGCTACTAAAAATACAAAAATTAGCTGTGTGGTAGTGGGCGCCTGTAGTCCCAGTTACTTGGGAAGTTGAGGCAGGCGAATCGCTTGAACCCAGGAGGCGGAGGTTGCAGTGAGCTGAGATCACGTCACTGTATTCCAGCCTGGGCGACAGCAGAGCAAGACTCCGTCTCAAAAAAAACAAAAACAAAAAACAAACAAACAAACAAAAAAACACCATGGAGTGATACTGCTTTAGATGAACTCCTTGCTGGAACCTTTTCTTTCTTCTCATACCCAGAGAGGCTCAATCAGCCTTACACCATGCTTTCTGTTCTGACTTCTACATGTCTCATTATGCATGACCACCAAGTCCTAGCAAAGATACTACGCCACCTAGGAAACTCAGAGGAATTCTGACCATGTCCAATAGCTGCCACCTTTTTTTCACTACAGCTGGGCACTTTATGCTAAGAACAGGGGTCAGGTTGACTTACAGATCCACAAAGCCCAGAAACAGATGGCACACTGAGTAGCCACTCAACAAATGCTCATTATTTAAATGATATGTCTTTAACCTGTGGATTTAAAATAAAATTTTGCTGTTTCATTAGAAAGGTCAAGAAAGTTTAACACTGATCTCTTGATTTCAACAGCACTAACAGCCACAATGAAGCCTCAGAATTAACACACTAGGTAAAGCTCACCTACAGATAACAACATAACCCTCTACTGAAGCCAAGAATTTCCTGATGACTATAAGTCTGCTAATGACCAACTCAGAATACCCCAGCAGAGCTGAATTCTGGTGAGAACAAATAATTGGAAGGGAGATAGGCCTACCACTTTATAAAATGGACAGTGGAGAGGTGTAAATCTATTCTTTTAATGGCAACAGCCAAGAGTACATCAATACATATAGGATAGGGTAGGCACGGTGGCTCGTGCCTATAATCCCAGCACTTTGGGAGGCCGAGGCTGGCAGATCACTTGACATCAAGAGTTAGAGACCAGCTAAGTTGTGGCCAACATGGTAAAACCCTGTCTCTAATAAAAACACAAAAATTAGCCGGGCATACTGGCAGGCACCTGTAATCCCAACTACTTGGGAAATCAGGAGGCTGAGGAAGAAGAATCGCTTGAGCCCGGGAGGTGGAGGTTGCAGTGAGCTGAGATTGTGCCACTGCACTC